TTCCCCAGCCACAAAGAGCCGGGAGCTGGGGTTGGGTTGGGCTGGGCTGTTCCCAGCCAAGCGCAGGGGGGGAGGCCTGGAAAGCAGGTCACGCTCCCCCCCCCGGGGCAGCGCGCCTGGCGCTGGAGTGGGAAGGCGGTGCCGGCGCAGAGGCAGCTCCGTCCCCCGCCCTTTGCTCAGCTGGAGATGCCGGTGGGCACCGGGGGGAGGGAAGGACACGACGGACCCCAGGGGCACGGGCAGCGCCGAGCATGGCCAGCCGGACACAGCACCCACCGAGAGGGGCGGGAAACCCCCGGGGCCCTGGATGCACCCGTGCACCTCTGAGCGTGGGGGATGTGGGTCGGACGCTCTCCCTGGACCCGGGCTCCTACCTTCATAGGCTTTGGCGGCGTTGACCAAGCTGGACCACTCCAGGCCGGCCGCCGTGTCGGGCAGGGGCATCAGGCCGGGGTCCAGGCGCCGTACCGGCTTGTCCCGTGTGTCCACGAGGGAGAGCTCGGAGGCCGAGATGGCGGCTGGGGGGGCACGGGGTAGGGGTGGAACCCAGACGTCCGAGCCCCAGGCTGACCCGCAGACCCCACTCCTGTCGCGCAGGGGAGGGAACCCAGGCGTCCCGGCTCCGGGTCCCCACAACCCACCCCCTAGACCCCGCTCTCTGACTGGAGCTCAGAGACAACCCTGACTCCTACCCTGCCCAGAGCTGGGGCAGACCCCAGGCATCCGGGCTCCCAAACCCCCTGGCGCACTCACACTTCTCGGGGAGGCTGGGGCCGGGCCCGGGCTGGCGGCGCACGGGCAGCGTGCTGGAGGGGAAGGCGCTGCCAGAAAGGACGTCGCTGGCCAGCACCAGGTCGAAGCAGGTGGGGGCGGCGGCGTAGCTGGGGTCCCTGCGCCCGCTGCACAGGCTTTCGTCTGACAGCGTCCGCTGCAGCATCTTTGGCGACACCTGGAAGGGCAGGAGTGTGGCCGCCACCCCGTCAGCTCGGGGGGCTGCACGTGTGTGCGTGCATGCAGTTTGATGTCCATGTGCATGCATAGGCACTCTGCATACGCGCACGTGCCACGTGGCGGCATGTAGCTGCACACGTGTATGCACGTGCAAGCATGTGTTCACACCTGCGTATGTGTATGCACATGTTGTATGTGTGTGTGTGCACATGCGTGTAGGTGCGTGTTGCAGCAGCACCTACAGCCGCACCCAGGATGGGAGCCCCCACGGTGCCGGGAGCCGTGCAGGCAGGGCAAGAGGCCGGCTTGCCGCGAAGTTTGTGGCCGGAGTCGGAGCCCGGAGGGAGGGGAAGAGCTTGCCTGGGGTTGCCCGCAGCAGGGGAAGGGAACCCAGGAGTCCCAGCTGCTCCAGCCCGCTGGTTACTACATGCCCTCCTAGAGCTGGGCTGGCACCCAGGCTCGCAGCTGCCCCACTTCTGGAGTGGAAGAGCAAACCCAGGCGTCCTGGGCGCCAGACATGGGGGGCGGGATCCAGGACTCACGCCATCACAGTCGGGCTCAGGGCTGACGGCGTCCATGATAATGAGCTTCTTAAGGTCGTCCTCGATGCTGGACTTGGGGCTCTTGCGGGGCGAGCGCAGGTCCCGCAGCGACGCCCGTAGCCGCGGCTGCCCGAAGACATTGCGGGGGCTGGCGGCCACCTGCCTGCGGCGCCGGGGGGGGAAGGAGGAGGGTTAGTGCAGCACCCCGAAGTGGCACCCAGCCCCCACACACCCCAGTGCCACGTACCTCTTGGGCTCGGGGGGCCGCGCGGGGGACTCGTCCAATCGCCTCCACCCCGCGCTGTGCTTGGCCCGGGCTGCCTGCTTGGAGAAGAAGGACTTGGGCACGGAGGCAGAGAGCGGGAAGGAGCCGGGCTGGGGTCCATGAGCCGGCCGGGGCGTCTCCGCCGTGGGTGCTTTGTAGCCAGGCACCGGGTAGCCCTGCCGCGTGCTGGGAAGAAGCAGAGCCATCAGGCGGGGAGGTCCGGGGGCAGCGAGAGCACCCCCATCCCGCATGCCCCATGCCCAGCTCACCCAGGTGGCTTGTAGGACTCGGCGCTGCCGACGTAGCCCTTGTGCCGGTAGCCCCAGCTCTGCCCGGCGGGCACAGGCTCCCTCCGCTTGCCGTTGTCGGGCAGGCCAGCGGCGTGGGCCGGCGTGGGGCGGGTGGGCCGGGCACCGGGGCTGGAGGTGTAGAGCGCCGTGTCGATGCCGCTGTCGCTGGAGCCGCCCACAGAGGCCGGGTCGGGCTCGGGCTCAGCGGGGTCGGGTGCGTCAAACCAGGGCTCGTCGCTGTGGCTGCTCGAAGCGTTGCTGGACAGCGTGTTGCTGCTGGAGTGGCTCGAGTACTG